GGGTCGCACGGGTTCGGCGGGAGCCCCCGGGGGGTCCTTTTTGCGCCCTGCCATGGGCCCCACCGTGCGCAGCGCCGTATTGTCGAGAGGTGAGGAATGTGCCCTGGCAGGTGGGGGTCTCCCTCCCTCCCGGTGCCCGTCCCTTCCTCCCTCGGCAGGGCGGTGGGGCGATCTATAGCTTGGAGACCGTCCATGGGGCTCTGGCCGAGTGGGCGCTCTCCGAGGCTCCGTCCCCGCCGGACCCGCAGTCTGCCTCCAGGCCACCAGCCAGCCTCCAACTCCCCCAGATCCCCACGACCCCTCCCCCATCCTTCCTCGCCCCTCCCTCTTCTTCCTCCCCCTCCATTCTCCCCTCATGGGAAACCAATCGGCGCCTGTGGCGGGCGTCTTTCTTGGTGCAACGTTTTACGTTTTCGGTCATGGGGCAATGACTATTATATCTATTCGCTTCCGTAGTCAGGTCATGACGCACGGGTAGCAACAAGTCGAGCCAAGCATGGCAGACAAGTTTGCGCACATAGGGTGCCGTGAGACAACAGCCAAGACAGCAGTCCATCGCAGGCGCGCAGATCGTCGGAGACTCACATCCTGGTATCTTGATGGAGGAGCAGTCCATGCCCTTCCTCGTTCTCCTCGTCCTGGTCCTCGTCGTCGTCGTCGTCCTCCTGCTCCTCCTCTGCTTCTTCCCGCGGGAGGCAGAGGAGCCCAGTGTTCGCGTGCTCGAAGCCTCCAGGCATGGCGAGGTGCGGCGCGGCGGCGCGCGGCGAACTGTTTCCAAATCTGCCGCCGCTCCGTGCCGCCGCTCGTTTTAGGGCCACCTCGCTTGCACCGGACGCCTCCGTTCCATACGCCCGTGTGCCAGTGCCTCACCCTTCCCTCCGATCCGGGCGTCGTGCTATACACACCTATAGATATAGACGTATATGAGAGAGCGTGATCCACCGCCGCTTCACTGTGGAAATATTCCCCCCCCCCCCCCCCCCCACACCCCCCCCCCCTCTTTCTCCATAACCGGGGTTCCCCCCCCCTCCGAAATCGCCCCCCCCCCCCCCCCCCCCCCCCCCCCCCCCCCTGTTGGACCCCCCCACCCCCTTCCCTCCGGGCAAAACCCCCCCCCTCCCCTACCCCCCCCCCGGAAAACGGGGGTGGGGTCACTCCTGGTTCGAACTCCTCCCCCCACCCCTCCAGAAAACTGCGTGGGGCCACTACTGGTTCGAACCCTCCCCCCCCGAAAACCAGAGAGGGGTCATTACCGGTTCGAACCCCCCCTCCCCACCCCTCCCTCCCTCAGAAAAACCGGGGGGGGTTCACTACGGTTCGAACCCCTCCCCCCCCTCAGAAAAAGGGTGAAAGGGTTCACCACCGGTTCGAACCCCCCCCCCCTCTCGAAAACCAGGGGGGGTCACTACCGGTTCGAACCCCTCCCCCCTCCCCCCCCACGTTCACCGCCAGCAAGCGGTTCCTGGGTCCCTACCACCGTCCGCACCACATCCCCCACTGCTGTCCCCAGCGCCACTGTCCTCACCACCACTGTCCCCACTGTTCTCACCACCGTCCCCACTGTCCCCACCAATGCCCCTACCACTGTCGCACTGTCCCCACTGTCCCCACCACTGTTCCCACCACGGTTCCACTCTCCCCACTTTCTCCACGGCCCCAACCACTGTCCGACTGTCCCCACTGTCCCACTGTCCCACTGTCCCCGCCGCTGTCCCACTGAGCTGTCCCACTGTTCCCACCACTGTCCCCACTGTCCCCACCACTGTCCCCACCACTGTCCCCACTGTCCCATTAACCCACCGCCGTCCTCGGAACGGTCCTCACCACTGTCCCCACCACCACTGTACCCTCCACTGTCCCACTGTTTCCACCTCATTCCCACTGTCCCCACACCACTGTCCCCACCACTGTCCCACTGTGCCCAGTGTTTCCACCATTGTCCCCGCTGTCCCCACCAGTGCCCCCACCAGTGTCTCACTGTCCCCACTCTCCCCACCATTGTCCCACCACGGTCCCACTCTCCCCACTTTCCCCACGGTCCCCACTACTGTCCCACTGTCCCCACTGTACCCACCACTGTCCCACTGTCCCCGCCGCTGTCCCACTGTGCTGTCCCACCGTCCCCATTGTCCCCATCACTGTCCCACTGTCCCCACTGTCCCCACCACTTTCCCCACTGTACTACTGTCCCACCACTGTCCTCACCACCGCCTTCCCCGTCCCCACCACTACCGTCCCCACCACTGTCCCACTGTCCCCACCACTGTCCCGCTGTCCCCTCACCGCTGTCCCCACCACCACCGTCCCCACCACTGTCCGCGCCACTGTCCCACTGTCCCCGTATCACTGTCCCCCCCACCACCGTTCCCACCACTGTCCCAGCATCCTCACCATTGTCCAACTGTCCCGAGGAGCGGGAATCGTTTGCCAGCGGCGAGGGGGGGGGAGGTGTTCGAACCGGTAGTGACCCCCCCCGGTTTTCGAGGGGGGGGGGTTCGAACTGGTAGTGTCCCCCCCAGTTTTCGAGGGGTGTGGTGCATGTATGTGTGCATGTATGTGTGTATGTATATGTGTATGTATGTGTGTATGTATGTGTGCATGTATGTATGTATGTGTGTGTATGTATGTATGTATGTATGTATGTATGTATGTGTGTATGTATGTATGCATGCATGCATGCATGCATGCATGCATGCATGCATGCATGGTGTATACATGTATGTATGTATGTAAGTACACAAGTATGTATGTATGTATGTATGTATATATGCATGTATGTATGTATGTATGCATGCATATATGTATGTATGTATGTGTATATATATATTTATGTACGTATGTATGTATGTATGCATGCATGCATGCATGCATGTATGCATGTACGCAGGTGTGTATGTATGTATATATGCATGCATACATGCATGCATGTATGTATGCATGCATGTATGTATGTATCAATATAAGGATGCAACCATGTATATATATATGTATATGTATATGTATATGCACATGTATATGTATGTATGTATGTATGTATGCATGTATGCATGCATGTATGTATATGTATGTATGTATGTATGTATGTATGTATGTATGTATGTATGTATGTATGTATGTATGTATATATGTATATATGTATGTATATATGTATGGATGTATGTATGTATGTATGTATTTATGTATGTACTATATGTATATATGTATGTATGTCTGTATGCATGTATGTACGTATGTATGTATGTATGTATGTATGTAGGTATGTATGTATGTATGTATGTATGCATGTACGTATGCATGCGTGCATGCATGCATGCATGTATGCATGCATGTATGTATGTATGCATGTATGTATGCATGAATGAACGAATGAATGACTGAATGCATGTACATGTGTATGTATATGTAATGCTTGCTTGTTTATTTGTATGTTTGTATGTATGTATGTATGCATGCATGCATGCTGCATGCATGCATGCATGTGTGCATGTGTGCATGTATGCATGTATGCATGCATGCATGTATGCATGTATGCATGCATGCATGGATGTATAGATGTACCTATACGAGCGCCCTGCGGGCGATAAGGAGGGTGGGGGGGATTGAGATCAAATGCCCACCCTGACTGACCTTCAGCCTGTCACCTTGATCTCATCTCTCTCTTTCTCTCTGTCTCTCTCTCTCTCGCCCTCTCTCTCTCTCTCGCCCTCTCTCTCTCTCTCCCTCTCGATTGGGTGGGTGGATTGATTGGATGGCATAAGATTGATTGGATAAGATAAGATGGGTTGGATTGGAAGAGATGGATTGGGTTGGGTGGATTGGATTGGATGGGATAAGATGGATTGGATAAGATAAGATGGGTTGGATTGGAAGAGATGGATTGGATAAGATAAGATGGGTTGGATTGGGTGGGATAAGATAAGATGGGACAAGATGGGTTGGATAAGATAAGATGGATTGGATTGGACAAGATGGATTGGATAAGATAAGCTGGATTGGATTAAGAAAGCCCGCCGCAGGCGCCGACAAAAAGTGAATTGATGGATTGGGTTGGGTGGATTGGATTGGATGGGATAAGATGGATTGGATAAGATAAGATGGATTGGATTGGGAGAAATGGATTGGATAAGATAACATGGATTGGAATGGCCCGCCGCAGGCGCAAAAAAAAGTGAATTGACGGATTGGGTCGGGTGGATTGGATTGGGTGGGATCAGACATAAGATAAGATGGGACAAGATGGGTTGGATAAGATAAGATGGATTGGATTGGACAAGATGGATTGGATAAGATAAGCTGGATTGGATAAGAAAGCCCGCCGCAGGCGCCGAAAAAAATGAATATGAAATTAGCGACATGCGTTAGCGCCGGGACGCCCGGGACACCCGGGACACCCGGGACACCGCCCGGCCCACTTGGGACACCTACCGGCCACTGGCGGACGGAAACGGACTTTCGCTCCTACTTCGGCCTAGCTACAGGAGGATCACGCGCAGCTTCGCCTCGCCCGCACGCACGACACGAACACGAAACCGAAACCGATTTCCCCGTGGGGGGTCTCCGTTTCACTGCGATCTCACCCCCCAACCTCCGATGTATGTATGTGCGTATGTATGTACATTTAATGTAAGCATGCGTGCGTGCATGCATGCATGCATGTATGAATGTACGTACGTAGTACGTACGTACGTATGTATGTATTTATGTAGGTAGCTAGGCAGGTAGGTAGGCAGACAGGTAGGTGGATTGTTAGGTATGCACGCATGTATGTAGGCATGTATGTATGTATGCATGTCTGTATGCATGCATGCATGTATGTATGTCATGTATGCCTGTATGTATGTATGTATGCATGCATGTATGTATGTATGTATGTATGTATGTATGTATATATGTATGTATGTATGTATGTATGTACGTATGTATGTATGTATGTATGTATGTATGCATGTATGCATGCATGCATGCATGTATGCATGTATACATGTGTGCATGTGTGCATGTATGCATGTATGCATCTATGTTTGTATGTTCTTATGCACGTATGTGTGTATATATACGTATCTATGAATATACTTTCAGATCTACTTCATTGTATATTATGTACGCATGTACACAACTTAGACACACATACACAGTCATACACGAGTATGTATATATCACGGTGCCCGTCTTTGTCCCTTTCGGGCTCGTGGGTCTCACATATCGAGTCGGCTCGAGGGAAGACAGAGGGATGGGATCGGGCACTTGGTCGTCACGTTTCACGACTTTGTATTTTTTCATCACGTCGGATCTCGGGGGTCACCCTGCCCCCTGAGGAATGAGGGCGCAGGAAGAGGGAAAACTGACCAGTCATGTTCTGGACGGAGTTAGCTGCGACGAAACCGCCCTCAACCATTCCCTGAAGTGATTCTTACGATGCTCTCTTAGGGCTGGAAGCTGAACATTGAAGAGTGCCCGAACTCACTGAATTTGATAGGTATGGGCCCCTTCACTCCGCGCGAATATTCACCACGTCATCACTCTGAACTCAGAGAACACTCATTGCTGCACTCCTGAGCGGATTGCCTTGAGCTGAATACCGTGTCTTCAATTCGGGGCAAGTGAGGGACTGACACCAGGCATGGGGGTGAGGGCGGACCGGGAAGCGAGGGGGGGGGGGGAACGCGGCGCGGGAGGGAGGCAGGTCGGGGAAAATGGCCATGGCAGCGTATGGAGCGTTGATAATATCGATGCCCGTTTGCAGTAGGATCTGAGCCCACCTCTGCCTCGCCGCCAGCAGTTCCCTGGCCCGGGGGTCGTGGCAACGCTCCGACTCGGGCTCCGCGCTCCAGTTCCCGTGCGGGGCGCGAGCCGCGCGCGGCGTGTCCAGGGCGGCGCCCGAAAATGCGCCCCGCTCCCCGGGGGAGAGCCCGCGGCGCCTCTGAGGCGTGCCGTCGGACCGAGGCATGAGATCGAGGTGGCTTCGGGGAGGGCACCCCGGTGCTCTTCGTGCCTGTTGGATGCTCTCGTGCATCCTCGGGAGGGCTTCTCTCGAAGGCTCGTCCGTTGGGCAGGCGGAGGGTCTCGTGTTCTCGCAGGATCCTCCTCTGTCCTAGATCCGACCGTATCCCCACCAGCCCTTTCCAGGAGCGCTCTCTGGAGGGGCTGTCGTGAGGAGGAGGAGGAGGAGGAGGAGGAGGAGGAGGAGGAGGAGGAGGAGGAGGAGGAGGAGGAGGAGGAGGAGGAGGAGGAGGAGGGAGGAGGAGGAGGAGGGGAGGAGGAGGAGGAGGAGGAGGAAGGGGAGGAGGAGGAGGAAGAGCAGGAGGAGGAGGAGGAGGACGGAGGAGGAGGAGGAAGAGGAGGAGGAGGTGGAGGATGAGGAGGAGGAGGAGGCGGAGGAGGAGGAGTAGGAGGAGAGGGGCGTGCAGCAGCCCTGTCAGAGTTGAAAAAGGAGATACCCATACCGCTGCCCTTCCCTCGCCGTCACGGTGGGACTCGCCTCGAGCTTCTGGCCAGAACGCACCCCTGGAGAGGCCTGGGGAATGGCGGTGTCGGTATCGGGGGCGGCATGAGATCTCCCCAGATTTCATGGCGCCTCTTCTCATTTCGATGCGTCCCCGCCCCCTCCCCCCCGGGCCGCGCACGTGCCATCGGTCATGATTTGCACCCCTGGCCTCTTGGACGCCTCCCTCTTGGACGCCCCCGACGGTGCCTCTTCGTCCCCCCCACGTTGGTGCATCGGCGACAGGTGGGCACGGCTCGGACCGACGGAGGCATCGGCCCGTGCAGCCCCTGCCGCAGAGCGACGAGCTCGCCCTCGAGCTGGCCGCCTGGAGGCATCCTGGAGGCTCGAGCCTGGAGGCCGCCAGGCGCGTCCTGGAGCCAGGCGGGGGAAAACAGCTGCACAGAAGCACAGTTCGAGAGTCCTTCGGTCTCCTCGTGCCCGCCTGCGGCGGCTCCGGGGGGGCCTCTCGGGCCAGAGGCCGAAGGTCGGCGGCGAGCCCGGCGGGGAGGTAAGAGGGGGCAGGCCTGCTTTCGTTGACGTCGTGCGGACTCGAGCCGCGGGGCTGTGGCGTTCTGACTTGACGTTGGGCGAGCTTGGGCCGCGGGGCTCCTCCTCCACCTCCGTCCTCCTCCTCCTCCTCCTCCGTTCTCCTCCTCCTCCTCCTCCTCCTCCTCCTCCTCCTCCTCCTCCTCATCCCCCCTCCTCCTCCTCGTCCTCCTCGTCCTCCTCCTCCTCCTCGTCCTCGTCCTCGCTTTCCTCCTCCTCCTCCTCCTCCTCCTCCTCCTCCTCCTCCTCTCTATGTGTCTCCCTTTCCCCGGCTTTTTTTTTCTCCCCCGCGTGTTCCCCGAAGGGTTTCCACAACGGCTGAGATAACACATGGTCGGATAGCTTGGCAGAGCTGTGGCCACAATGTTCGGCCACATGGGCGATTCCAAAAGGCAGGGGGCGTCGGTGATTCGCCATATGCGTCTTCGATCCGCCACCCGCTCTGTTTCTCACAGAGGTGCTCTTGTTATTACTCCGACCGCGCCGAGAACACCTCCCTCAATGATGATGAGGTGCGGTATGCTATGCAACGTAATGCTTTGTTCCGTTATGTTATGTTATTCCTCATATCCAAGTTGTGGGGTTCTTGTTCCCCAGATCCATCTTGTCGCCCGTATCCAAACGATGGGGTTCTTGTTTCCCGTATCCAAAAAATGGGGTTATGGTTCCCATATCCAAAGGATGGGGTTCTTGTTAGATTCCGACCGCGCCAACTTCCTCATACACCTCTCCTTTCTCCTCCCCTTCCTCCTCTTTCTCATCATGCTATGTTATGGCGTGCTATGCTATGCTATGCTATGTTGTGCTATGCTATCCCCATATCCAAATTATGGGGTTATTGTCCCCCGTATTTAAAGCATGGGAATCTGGTGATTCTCCATATCTACAGGATGAGGTTCTTGTTCCCCATATTCGAAGCATGGGGTTATTGTTTACTACTCCAACCGCGCCGAGAGTCACCTTCCTCCTCCCTCCTCCTCATTTTACATTCAGTTCTTAAATGCGATGACATATCATGTCATGTTATAATTTATGTCATTGTATGTTTTGGCATGGTATGACATGGCATGCTCTGTTATGGTATGGTATGACTTGGTTTTGCATGGTCTGTTACCTATGGTATGTTATGGTATGCTGTGGCATGTCATGTTATGTTATGACTTGTCACGTTATGCTATGCCATGTTATGATATGTTGATGATGTTGATGGTGATTATGCTGCTGCTTCTGATGCTCATGATGATGCTGCTGCTGATGATGGTGGTGATGCTTCCGATGATGAGGGTGGTGATGATGATGATAATGATGCTGTTGTTGATGATGCTGGTGATACTGCTGATGATGAATATGCTGCTGCTGCTGATGATGTTGATGCTGATGATGATGATGCTGATGCTGCTGATGATGATGCTTATGATGATGCTGCTGATGATGATGAGGATGCTGCTGCTGATGATGATGTTGATGATGCTGCTGATGATGATGATGATGCACATGATGATGCTGATGCTGCTGATGATGCTGATGATGATGATGATGAGGATGAGGATGAGGATGATGATGATGATGATGATGATGATGATGATGATGATGATGATGCTGATGACGATGATGATGATGACGATGATGATGATGATGATGATGATGATGGTGGTGGTGATGATGATGATGATGATGATGATGATGATGATGATGATGATGATGATGATGATGATGATGATGATGCTGTAAACAATACGACGAAGTGCACACGCGCGCGTCGTCGCGCGCGTATGCAGAAATCCTTCAAAAACCTTCGGTTTCGGAAGGATTTCAAAATCGTGTGGCCAAACAAAAACAGATGGTTTCGCAACACGGATTTTCAACAAAGACGTGCGCGCGGGCTCTTGCGTCGTCGTCGTCGTCGTCGTCGCCGTCCTCCCTCCTCCCTCGTCGTCGTCGTCGTCGCCGTCCGTCGTCTCCCTCTGTCTTTCCTCGTCGTCGTCGTCGTCGTCTTGGCGTCGTCAGCGTTTCCGTCGTCGTTGTCGCCGTGGTCGTCCTTCCTCCCTCGTCGTCTTCGTCGGCGTTTCGTCGTTGTCCCTCCTATATCGTCGCCGTTGTCGTCGTCGTCGTCTTCCCTCCTCCCTCATTGTTGTCGTCGTCGCCGTCGTCGTCCTCCCTCCTCGCCCCATAGGGGGCTCCACCGTAGCGCCCAGTGGGACCGTCCGCATGCGCGTCGGAAGCCCAATTTGGCATTTTCACATACCCAGTACAGCGTGTCGTGGCCCCATAGGGAGCTCCACCGAAGCCCCCAGTGGGACCGTCCGCATGCGTCCCACACCCAATTTGGCATTTGTCACCCACCCAGTACAGCGTTTCGTGGTCCCAAAGGGAGTTCCACCGACGGCCCCAGTGCTACCGCCCGCATGCGTTCCCCCCCACCCAGTGCAGCGCTTCGTGGCCCCATAGGGAGCTTCACCGAATGAGATATTCACAATTGCGGTACCCACAACTGCATATGGTTGGGTCCTTCGCCAGGATATTTTTCATGTCGAGACCTCGAGGACTTCTGGGTACGTGCCGCCATTCCCCCCTTCTTCCCGATCCTCCCTCCTCCTCCCTCCCCTTCCCTTCCCTCCTCCTCTTCCTCCTCCTCCACCTCCTCCTCCTCCTCCTCCTCATCCTCCCCCTCCCCCTCCTCCCTCCTCCCTCCTCCTCCTCCTCTTCCTCCTCCTATTCCTCCGCTTCCTCCTCCTCCTCCTCCTCCTCCTCCTCCTCCTCCCTTCCCCCGCCCCTCCAGTGCCAGGATCGCCGGCGGCGGCAGTGCCGCGCCGTCGGAGCCGTCGGTGGCTCGAGACAGCCGCGGCGGCCCCCCCTCGGGCCCCCCCGCTTGGCGGGGCGGGGGCGGGCGATGCACGCCGCGGCCGCCGCGCGGCGGGGCGGTCGCGGCGGCGCCGAGGCGCCCGTGGCGGAGCCGTGCTCGGAGCCGCCGTGCCGTGCGGTGGTGCCCGGGACCGCATCGCAGGGGCGCCTTGGGCCTTTGCGTCGCTCCTCCCCTTCGCCTTCTTCCATCCCCTCCTCCTCCTCCTCCTCCTCCTCCTCTCTCCTCTCTCCTCCTCTCCTCTCTCCTCCTCCTCCTCCTCCTCCTCCTCCTCCTCCTCCTTCTCCCTCGTCTTCCTCGTCGTCGTCGTCCTCCTCCTCGTCCTCCTCTTCCTCCTGTCTCCTCCTGCCTCCTTCCTGCCTTTTCCTCGCTTCTCTTCCCCATTTTTCCCTCCTCCTGTCTCCTCCTCTCCCACCCTCCTTCCTCTGCTTTCGCCCGCATTCCTTCATCTTCCTCCTCCTCCTCCTCCTCCTCCTCCTCCTCCTCTCTCCTCCCTCCTCCCTACAGCCTTGCAGAGGAGGGCAACTCTCTCTTCCTCCTCCTACCTTCTACCTCCTCGTCGTCCTCGTCGTCGTCGTCGTCGTCGTCGTCGTCGTCGTCGTCGTCGTCGTCGTCATCATGAGGGCCCTCGCGGCGCTGCCGTCGTCGTCGTTGCCGCCGCTTCGGACAGCCTGAGTGTTCGCTTGGATAGCTCAATACTTCCTAACCATCTTGTGGTGCTGGGTCCTGGTTTTGCATCGGCAGTGTCCCGCGTCCTCCTTCCTCTTCCTCGCCCCCCCCTCTCCCGTCCTCCTCCTGCCTCCTGCTCCCCTCCTTGCGTCTCGCACCCGGCACACGTTTCGTGGCCCTCGGGGAGCTCCACCTGCGGTCTCAGTGGGCGCGGTCTCACGGCTGGCGCCTCCACCCCTCACACGTTGCTTCCCACCGGGAGCTCCACACGGCGTGCCCGCCCCATGGGGAGCTCCCCACTGGAGGACCCCGCGGCAGGGCC